GAACCAGTAAGTGTAAAGCAGAAAAAAAATGAAGAGACCAAACTAAATAGATGGTAACCGCGAGATCTAGGTGAGTGGTTATATCATTCAAAGCTACAGAAGGCAGAAGCAAAGAATGAGAATCTTACAGCTTTTTTGCACTTGTTTCGCCTTTCCTCTTCATGCTTAGCAACAACACGACGTGCATCAGCTAGTGCCGTCTCCGCTTTCTCTTGAGCCACAGGATCTTGAGAATGAATACATCGAGTGACAATAATCACCTAAAACTCTTTTACGGTTACATCTTTCACAAACTTAGTAAAAACGCTTGTTTAACAAACCGATATGACAGCTGTGATGACACACCTTGAAACCTGGTGGCATACTTTCATTCTTAAATGCGCGATCTACCTCAATCAGTGGAAATACGTGCACATGCTCATCCCGATTTCGACGAATCAGTGTGGGACCGCCGGCCTCAGGCCGCCCTTCAACGGCTGCTTCGACTGGTTCTCCATCTATAAATAAATGAGAAGAAAAATGCTAGAAGGAAGCACTTTTCTCCTGGCCAATAGTAACACGGTAAAAAATTATCTCCGAAAGGTATGACCAACGTGTAGGAAGCGCGGATCGTCGCTCATTATAGACATCGTGGACTAGATTTGAAGCATGTGCATTTCGAAGCAATTCCTCAATACCGAACCGAGGCCTATAACAATGTTAAACGGCCGATATACATATATATATATATACATGTACATATATATGTATGTATATATATACAAGTGTATATATATATATGTATATATGGATTTGAACTGCCATCACGAGCTGACGCGAGGTTGGTGCTGGTTGTTGCCGTGATTCGGGAGCTGACTTTTCGGAGACTTAGCCTTCCAAAGAGACTGGATGTATTTTATACAACGACATACATAATTCAGTTAACTATCTATAACACTAATGAAAATCTATTATATAAATGCTTTCTTGCATGTGAAACCAACTGCGTTTTGCTAACGATGAGTGAGACTCAACCAGATCAAAAAATCAATTTGGAGAGATGCGCCAAATCATTTGTGATAGTGCGACAATCGTCTTTCCGGTTCATCTTCGGAATTTTCAAATTTATCCAAGACGTTTAGAGACTCTCCCCTTAGCTGTTTTCCATTCTTGAACTAGAATCCTGAGAGTCACTTCAAAATCATAGTTGCGCTTTTGTGCCCTACACGCAACTAGAATCTTACCTTGTACTAGTAGTAGCACTTTACTGAATCTTAAGTTTCCCATCTAGATGTTCTTTCATGAGGGCACAAAGTTGTCTACCCCTTCCCCCAACGTATTCTTCACCGCATAACTTGCATAAGATTAAGTATTCTGTACCTGAACTCATGTAATCCCCGTCTCTCCCGTTAGGACAGATCGTACAGCTTTTTGAGCTGCACCTGCAGTCATAGAGGTGGTTATGAACCAACTGAGGGCGTACGGTATTACGTGGGAGGTCAATAACCAATACAAAATTCTCGAAAACATTTATACTTAGGCACTTCATAATGGCGCATTTTAATTCACTTGATATGAAGGGTAGCCTGAAAATAATCTTATTTAGGTTTAAAACATTGTCTCGCGGCACAACCATATTCTTTAATCTGACCCAAGTGGCTTCTTTTATCGTAGCCATTGGAAATGAGTATTTTTCGCGCCAAGCTTAGGGATTCCTACCTTTCTTCTTCTCCTGTGCACGAAAAATAACCATTTCTAATGGCAACGAAGCAGAAACAACTCAAATCATAACAAAAAGTAAGGTTACTCCTGAAATAATATTTCAAACATAAATAACAATCCATTCAAGATACTCTTCGCAACAGAAGAAATACGTGACACCATTAAGAAGTGTCTTAGAAGAAGTGGTCTTATAGTAGCTATTGACCTTCCACCTAATACCCTACGTCGTCAACTAGCCCGCAATCGGCTCTATGATCGTTTATGCAACTCATAAAACTGTGTGGTATGTTCTAACCGGAAAGACGGAGATTGCATGAGTTCGGGTATAATTTACTTGATTTCATGTAAGGCATGCGGTGAATAACATATTGAGGAAACGGCTGGAATACTTCGTATCCGATAAAAAACATCTAGATGGGAAATTTAAAATTAAATAAAACACTCCTCTAGGTAACTCAGGTCACACAAACACAACGGTGATGCGCTTTAAGTGATTGTAAGGAGCCCAGCGCTGGAACCAGAAACATCAACGTACAAAACTTCTGAAGCGTTTTGAGGAAATATCGAAAGCCAGAAGACAAACTGGGATGGCGAATGAAAGGCATCTATATCACAGGTGTCCTGCCGCCTTTTATCAAACGAAGTTTTTGATCTGGGTAGGTCTCATTTCTCAAACGACGTGAACAACACACGGGTGGTTCGAAACGCAACAAAACGGTGAGCAAATTCTTTTCAGACAGAATGGTGTTCATCTATATATTTGATCTTCACCAATTCTATAGATAGTTCACCGAATTCTATGGATATCGTTATATAAAATACTGAAGAAGTTCTGAAGAAGGCGAAGTCATAGAAACGTCAGCTACCGACCCGTGACAACAACAAATGATATCAACCATCGTAAGAATATATATAGATATATACATTATATATATATATATATATGTGTACATACACACATGCATACCTGATACTAGAACGGCCCGTCCTCACTGGTTGTGCGGGCCTCAGCATAACCTTCATTTTTCGGAGGTTTATTGGTTAAGCCACTGTGGTTCCCTGGAATCCCGAACTGAACCTGGTCAGAGTCTGCCCCAAGTCCTCACCACCACAGACAGTCGCAGACCCTATGGATCATAGGGATATTTGTCACCATGCGACATCAATACCACGACGGTGGTGGATCCATGTATTGGTTTACTCTTAGCCAGGCTTACTAATGGAAAAGCTGGACTCCTCAGGTTGGGAGATCCTGACAGGGGGACGAATCCTCCCCTGTACAGCGCAGTCCGACGCCCAGGAACACCTCGCAGTCACGATGAGGCGGTAAACCGTTAGGAGGTACATATAGATGCATACATATATGCACATATATACATACATTGATTACTTATGTCGAGGTTTATAGAAAGTTATTCATATGAGTGCTAATTGGAATGACATGCTATCACAATACAAATGAATCTGAACAAAGTTGGAATCAACAGAACCACAACCAACGCTTTGCTACGATCGCCGTAGATGTCAAATAATGATGAAGTAGGACAGTGTTCTTCCAAACCTGGTGGGAGTTTTAACTAAAAAATTTAAATCAGATCTGTATTTCATACCTTCAGTCACTTATGAACAAACCTCAAGATTTTTAGCCTCCCATCGTTCGCTTGCACAAGGCGCTTTCCGTTTCTTTTGACAGTCATTACAACCGACACCCAGAGATGGAATATGTGGATCACTACTATGCGACTTCCGATCTGCAACAACGAAGTCACAAATAAACTTTCAGTTCAATTACAATTTATTTGCACTGCGCTAAAAGACATCACATTTTATATAGAAACAACATCAACTAAAGATCCTCGAACCGCATACCATTACCAGAAAACGGCGAGAATGGTGAACACGGCATCTTCAAGGCAGTGGAAGTGATGCCGGATGTAGATGGTGGAGATGTTTTTCTTTCTGTTATTGATGTTGCCCCTTTAGGATACGGCGACATCTCGTCACCATGTCGGTAGCCTCTTCCACAAGAACCTGGGCACGTAAACATCGTGTTCAACCACAAATGTCCAATCTAAAAAGTGCAGACGCTTAAGCAATCACAATATTTGTAGCCATGAAAACATGATATTAGGAACAAATAAGAACCAAATCAAATTAAATAGACGGGAACAATGACGTCAGAAACCAATACTTTTAATAAAAGAATGCCATGTGTAACTTCTGTCTCAGTGGGATTCCTGGATTCCAAGGTTTGCCGTTTTAGTCTTCAGTATAATTAATATACACTGAATGTGCTCTTAGCGTAGTGGTGGGGGGGGCGAACTGGGGATACACATGGGTTCGATCCCGGGCCTTCAGGTTCACCAAGCCTTCCATCCCTCCGGCTTACGCATGGTACCAGACCTGTCTGGGAGGATAGCAGCACTGGCTCGATACATCGGTAGGCCACCGCGAGTCATTGTAAAGGCCAGATATGCATTCAGTCACCTCCAACGGTGCTTATTAAGTCAAATACATGGCACATCCCTCAGGGATTGATCAGCACCGAGAGCTAAGACTTTGAAAGATTGTAAAACAAATGAACAGCTTGCGAAGCACGCAACCGCTTTCCGCAACATTCCTTTTCCAAAAAATTAAAATATAGAACAAAACAACTAAAATGTGGCGGCTCCCTTCGTTCCACAAAAATCTTAACAAGCAAACACTTCCGAATTCGATTGCTTTTCGTTAACAACGCGACGAAAGCACCAAACTGAAACGTAAAGTAGACCTCTAGTGAATTAAACGACATAAATTTTGCACGATATCTCCTGAGTCACGTGGGCGCTGACAGTCATTGACGAAAAGCTGATTACACGCTTCCAGAACAAGTTAAAATACTAGCTAAAAAGCTTTCCCGAGCAACATACAGCCATTAGTTATAAAAACAGAGCAATTCGCGAAAATAAACCGGATCATGAAAGTTACAGTATCAACGCACATTTTTATTTGGTATCCATTTTTGCTCATACTAAAAGCGTCAAACATGGCCAAATGTCAAAATCAAGCTAATGAAACACCTCTATGTGAACGAAACTGATCCAGCGAGCTGTAAAAAGCCAATAAATATTACAGCTTGAAACCCTTACCTTCTCACGTTTTTTCTTATTTTTTCGAAGACGTGATCCTGCGGCCGTAGTTTCAGCGAATATATCCACACGTATATCACCTTCTAGATAGACACGATATGGATGTGTAACTGTCCAGCCCCACGCTCGCCTTAAATTAGAAATATTTCTCTGATGTTTACATTAAACTCTTTAAAAAATTAAGTGACAAAACAAAAACTTAAAATATCCTATCACAGATCTGACAAGATATCTGGAGTATGCAAACCTTGAAACACACGTGTTGTTGACATCAAAAGAATCCGAAGATGGATCGTAGCTATCCTCACCAAATGGTACCTTTCCTGACCATAACCTCTCTTCATCAATCCTAAACAGAAATTGTACAAATAGGAAAAAAATGAATACACATAGGCAAAACAGCACCACTGCTGCCGAGAAATCGTGATTGGAGCGCCGGTGAACATTTCAATATCACTCTGTGTGACACGCATTACAAGATCTCCTTTGAAAGTCGCACCTAAATGAACAATTGTGAGATCACAGAATTCATTTCGATCAGCAAGAACACCCAGCGATTGACTTCTAACAAATGTCATAGAATTTCAACTTTTGTTGGAGATGTTTGTAAAAATACTTCTGGCATCCACTTGCAAAGTCAGAAACGAAAACAACGGAATCTGTCGAAGAATGAACATTCAGTAGTATGCAACAGCGAACGTTGCAAAACACTATCATTGACTATACAACGTTCAATCTCACAGCTAGTTTTCAATGCCGTTGACAGGTGACTGCTGATAGCAGTGGTAGAGGGACAGGCGAAACGAAGAACCGGCGTAGTGTGGTGGTGTACGCGCTAGCCCACACAAAGGGTAGTAGCGCATTCGTCCCTCACCGCAGGCACCTGCGGTCCAGAGTTTTACAAATATCTCAGTATCATCATAGTTGTATTTCACATAGAACCCTGCCGTGAAAAATTGCAGTAAAAAGCAAATAAAATGTTAAGATTGTGATTTCAACAAATCTCGTCATTAAAGCGTACAACAATGTTAAAATTAGAGTAACCTAAATTGGATTAAAATGCTCAAAATCTCAAAAAACCGCACCGGGTTGTGGAGGTCGTTCAACATAGACGCCAACAAGCTCAATCCGCAGTGGGGTGTACGTCAGACCGTATTTGAGCATTTGTGCGTAATAATAGATATAGCGTCGTTGCGATGGTATCGTCACACCCTAAGTAAAGTCGCATTTCGCTTGATCAATGACTGAATTTGAGAACCATTATACCATAAACACCGCTAAATTAAAAAAAAACAGTAAACTACACTGAGTATTCAGCTATACTATAGCTTTCAAAAACCATACAGACCATACAACACTTTAAATGAAGCGTTCCAGGGCTAAAGAATTCTGCTTACAAAGTGGTGGAAGGAAAAAAATTTCAGAATTTTTACTCTCAAGCACGTAATTATAGCAAATTGAGCAGAGATTAGAATACGATTATGTAGTGAACAAAATACAGTGAATTACTTAAATACAGGTAGTATACGTATACATCAAATCACGAAAAACCAACATATGCACAGAACTGATCTTAGGATACTCTATGAAAACAGTTCACAAACTAAAGAGGAACGAGAATTCTTCTCTCAAGCCGATCATGTAAGATGCTTTTAGCACCCAACTAGGAAAAAATGCAAGAATCCGAGGTAAGAACACAGTGGATTAAAAGCAATCCGGAACTGAATCTCGAATACGAAAGACTATCGAGCACGTTCCCAAATGCATGAAGCTAGTCAGTAATCTTAAACAGAAATATCGATGTGCGTTCGAATATTTCGTTGCAGACAGAACACTTAGAACAACAGCATAAAAGAAAAACTAAATCGAGTTTCAAAAATAGAAAAAAGAGTTGAGAATATCTATTTGAGCAAACGAATTCCATTCCCCATTCTGTACAGAGCTATTTGTTGAGCAATTACCACTGAACTGGTCGCATATACTAACAATCTTCTCACAAGTAATAAAACTAGTAAATGATTTAAGACTTGGAACGGCAAACCGCAAACCCGGCCGTGAGACGTATACTGTAGGTGATGGAATTGTGGTTGAAAAGCAAGACATTTCTACTTAGAGGACTTATATGAACACATATACGTGTGTGCATATATATATGTACATGTGTACATATGTACATATATATAAATATATGTATCTATATACGCATACAATGCACGCATGCATTACCTGTAAACGTATGTATATGTATATGCGTATATGTAGCGTATACACTACACATTTGTTATTGCCTAATATTAAACGTAGCTAGAGAGATTTTGTCTCCTTTTTTGCATCGTTGTAGTTAAAATTACTTGGAATGCTAACGGCCAAAAAGAAACTAAAAAGTGAACAGAGCTCGATTCTACACCAACCTTGTTGTTAACCGTCCTTACGATTGAGTAGTAATCCATTACTTGACGCGGCTCTTCATAAAACTTTATCGATACGAGGTAAGCGCAGATCATTACCCCAGTACGCCCCTGTAAGAAACGGAAAACTCACTTAAAACTGAGTGAAGCCACAGTGAAACTGTTGATATCGAACGAAGTCGTAGAAGACTTAACAAATAATTGCATCAATAGCAATGCCAATATGATGTCTTCTAAACCAAAGCCAACCATCCAAGAAAACTGCACACCTTGCCAGCTTTGCAATGTACGGCAACAACATTTTTGGGATCTGCTTTCAGATACTCGTTTACCTGGAATCGCCAAAATGATAAATTAATAGAACGACATTTATAACGAGTAATGAAGACCAGCGGCTCCCCTAAGCCTCATATTTTGCCCCTTCATTGTGGCTTGGGAGTGTTGCATTGTGATGTCGAGCAGCGTTCGATTACCAACAGCACACCTAGGACGAAAGGGAATTCGACATTTTCATCCAGAAACCCAGTAAAAGGTGAATCTGCGCTTGGTGCGCTTCTGCTGCTCATTAAACGGGCAAAAGCTTAAAAATAAAGGCGTACTCTCGGGACATTTTGAGTAAACGGAACCAACAACCGTGGTACACGACAGAGGTCAATACAAACCCTGTTGATACTCCCATAAGCTACCGGATGATTAATGAATACAGGTTAATTTGGATCGAAGCAATGATAGAAATTCAAAGAGATTTGGACCACTTACCTCCTTACAAAAAGGATCCATGAGATCAAGTCGCGGTGGTTGATGGTCCTTCATGTGATATAATCCAACTCGACCATGAAATTTTTCCACTTTGTAGAAATAATTTCCTCGTCTGAAAAACTCCAATATTAAAAAGAACAGGACAACTGAATATCTTTTCCTTAACATATCTGCAACATGATTCTGGGAATTCAGTAATTCACAACATTATAAATCCGATGATTCTTGAACACTTGACGCATTAAGCACTTAGCAGACTGAAATAAAAGAATTCACCACTCGTCCTGTAAGCAACGTGTTTTCCTCTTCCAAACGTTCCCTTCCTGCTTATTTAAAACAAGAAAGAAACTTTAAAAATTGGGATGAAAACACATTGCACACTATGAAATCAAAACTTCATCGCGGTAGGACAACCTGGCATCTTACTGGTAAAAACTGCATATTCCAACGATTTTTATCTCAAGTAATAAAGCTCACTATAAGCCGAGATACCACTGATCGAAGTTGATAGGCGCAAATATTTTTGGACACCTGCGAGATAAAAACCAATCAAGAAACTCATTCACGCAGTGAGAACTTATGTATGATAACCAGACATCAAAGCATCTCAAATAAAACAGTCTTTTGCAGCCGAAAAAAGACGCTTATTAACGAGAATTCAGGAAACCTACACCATTTCTTTCACTTTAAAGCGAGTCGACGTTATAAAGATTTGAAAGGCAGAACAGAGACCTTTCATTTTCATTCTTCTTCCGTATGTAAAACGTCCGAAGACTTCAAAAACCACATAAATCCTATGTTTTCGAAAAATAAATGTCTCACAACGACTGTGGAATAAAAAGAAAAAAACTACTGCGTCAGCCTGCCACCAATTTCGTATCATCGGCACTTTTCGACTATCGTAACTTCTATACCTTTTAGTCGAATAACGCCATATTTTCGATGTCTTTCTTCAATAGGCAGACAAGAGGCTGTTATTATGGAATTTATTAGGATACAATAGCTGATGTTCCGGCGGTTTCGCCTTCTTTAGAGCCTGGAAAGGTCAAATTGAAATGCGATCTACTCAGCCAAACACTTTCATAACCCTAGTAGATAAAACTTAATAAATAAAGTTCCAGTACAGTCTACCTGGTCTTTTGTAAAGCGTGCGGGGACGAATACGTTGGCGAAACGGGTAGACCGCTCTGCATCCGCATAAAACACCTAGTCGGTAAATCTAAATTAAAACCAAACATTCCACTAGGCGCGCATAAGATGCAGAAACACAACGGAGGTTTTGAAGTAGGAGTCACTATCCTCACGCACGAATCGAAAACATCAGGGCGTAAAACCTTTGAAGCGTTTTGGATCAATTCCAAAAATTCAAAAATGAACCGCACGGAGAAGTGACTTGTCATCACGCGTGACCTGGCGCCATACCTCAGGCTGATCCAATGACCTGACACATGCACAGTCCTCGCCCATATATTACTCTGTTCTGCTGCTATCCACTAACTAACTTAAATACTTACAACGAATAAAATAAAGCTGTTTCTTATGCGAATACAAATTTATTTGTTAAGTTTTATCTGCTGGGGTTATGAAAGTGTTTGGCTGAGTAGATCGTATCTCAATTCTACTTTCTCAGGCTCTGAAGAAAGCGAAACCGCCGAAACACCAGCTATTGTATCCTCATAAATTCTATAATAACAACCTCGTGTCTGCTTATTGAAGAAAAACATCGAATTATCAATCAATGCCGAGGTTAGTAGAAAGTCGGTCTTGGGAACACTATATTTTATTAACACGGTCCGTTATAACATCTAATGTACGGATCTTCCCTTCACACCTGACTTCTTACAATTTAATACTAAGTAACCGGAAGCTATAAGAAACTGGAAAACTGAAGACGGCAGTTGGTAACTTACTTAAAAGAAAACTCACAAATTAAAAACTTTATAGTGGCCAGCGTGATGGCGTTCCAAAAATTTCACTGTGTGATACATACTGTTGCGATACAAACGCTCTATACTTCTTGCAGGATATCCCATAGCAATTATTCGATCGGTTATATCTGTAACATTTGAATGTCAGCACAGGAAAGCAATGAAGTGAAACACGTTCCAAATAAATGAAGAGGCCTACATGTTAGATCAAGATTAAAGCCATCTTCGGTGTAACGCCGCCGATTTTGGCTGATCACAGAACGTAGAGGATTAAACACTAAATCTACAACGTCCTGAACAGAACAATTATAAGTCTAACCGTATGTTCAAGAATAAATTTTTCCAGTAACGATGTCTATATAGACTCACATTAAAGCTTTGAAAGGAAGGATTCCGTGCAGTTTCGGTGCTTTGTGAACCAATTGATGACACTACTGCTCCCACATATGTAGAACTTGCGTCATCATTCAGTGACCCTGGTTCCGATGGTGAAGAACTGAAAACGAGAATTAATATAACAAAGTAGTCCAGTCTCAACTCATCCATCACAATATTCAAATACTGTCTAACCTGTTTATTTTGTCGTTGATGACCACAGGATCGACATGTACCCGCATCGCAGCGCCCTCGTCGCGCATTATCGGATCGCGGCGACTCGGTGCGGCGTGAATGACGACGAGACGACAGTTGGTACCGCTCCCTTCTGGCCTACGGGACCAATACCATATGAATGATATAGAGTGGAGGCTTTTACGATATGCAAAAGCGCTAAGGAACCGACAGTACTGCTGTATAGGACGGGGGTAGAGCAGTGGTTAGTAATGTCGTCGATCACAATACAAAGTGCGTTAGTTCCACCAACACCCCAACGCTCTTCTCCAACCCACGTGTGAATGCCCTAGCCCGGTTTTCCCCAAGACTGTAATGAATAATTGACTCGACCAGCATTCCACGACAACCACAAAGAAGGCGAAATCCTCAAATAGCGGTCGAAACGACTATCCGAAATGCAAGAAGTGCTGGAATCCGCAGCGTAGATTCATGTAAAACATGGTCACTGGTCATGTAAAACAAAAATAAAAAATACTGCTTCACTGAATATTAAATGAACCACGATAAATTGGTGACTATCGCAGGAAATGAGATACGTACATCCCCACTACTCGAGCCAACCCAGTTTGTCTTTCTATAAATCACGCGTTCTCGATAATTTATACTTCCGAAATGACATCCGTTTATTGCTCGAAATCGGTGCTATTGTTCACCAGAAGGGCACAAAAAATAATCCACATCTAAAGATAATGTAAACTGAAAGCTTCACAATTATCCAAATAATCCTAAAAAGAACCACGATGAAGAACACTTTGCTTGTGAAGGACGACAATTGAACACAGGGGTTTGTACAAGTCGATTTGTTCCATTCGGTAATTACTGTGATGGTCCATAATTTCTTAGTGGTGATGAGACACATGAAGTTCACAACGGCGACAACGGAAATGAAAAAGTTGGATAATACAGTAGCGATGACGGTGGAAAATTCTCTGAGAACATGAAAGCAGTGTCATTTTTAGCAAATACAAGTTACTAGAAAGATACACATTTATATATCTAAACTTTCCCACGTCCATTACTTGCCCTGCATTGGCTGTTTTTGCTGTCATCATATAGCAAAAGTAAAATATTGATCCAATTTTAATACTTATCTAAATCCGATTTCGATAGAGTATTTAGAAATGTCCCATTTTTCTTCTTATCACAGCAACTGGCCTAAAGCCTCTAATACGCAGTGATAATTCTGAACTAATTTTGTAAGGGTGCGGCTTCCTCCAGTAGCGGACCTACCAGCGCCTTTGTAAATTAATAATAAACAAAAAAACCGTGAAAATACAGACAAAGAACCCACTAATAAGTTGTGTCGTTTTCGACAGTTTGGTGAAGTGAATCGCACCCGCCATGGCTAAGATAAATGCCACCAATAGAAAATGCATGAGGTATTTACACATATTTTTTCGAAGACCTTATATGCCGTGCATTTAAGTGTTGACTGGTAAACCAGATACAGAAGATCCATCTTGAAATGAACCCAAAATTACAATGAAGGCTAGATACAGAGCCAACCGGAAAGCGTAATCGCTGGTTCGAATCTGCCCTGGCGTCCACGTTTTATAAATTTCTCAGTACCACTTTGGTTGTATTTCAAACGATCATAAGAAAATAGGTTGTAAATAAAGAGCCTCAAAGGACCTGGACGGTCACGGTTTCCTTCCCACAGCTTCTGTACTGTGCCTTTCCTACTTGATCCAAATACGTACCAAGAAATCACGGTTATCGCAACAGTAATTGTCTGCTGAAATAGCTAGTAGCAAAAATACGTACAAAAACCCGAAATGAAAAAGAAGTCAGCTCTGTCTATTCAATAATAAACGGTCAGAACAGGTGTGCTGTTGCCATTCCCATCCCATGCTCTCTTAATTTTTTCTTTTTTTTTCTGCACGAACTGTCCACACATCTGTTGTGCGGATCTCAGCATTTCCTGAATTTGTCCCCGAACTTTCTGCATCTGTTCGGCTGCTGCTTGAAGATTGTCGTCTTCGTCAGAAATGCGGTTGAATGCTAGTCGAGTCGATTCTTTCTGGAGACCTGAGAGAGCCAGTCTAGATGCTCTCAACTTGAACTACAAGCAGTGAGAAGCTCCCAAATAAGTATGCTACCAAATTCCCGACCCAGAAGGGTGAAAAACTTGGCGCGTCGTGGGCAGGGTCGTACCAACTCCATGCTTGTTATGAACGGCATCACTAACATTGCGCTACCCGCCCCTTCCGATCCATGTTTTAGGACAAGAAAATGGAAAATACAAGTAGATGTTCCCTGAGAAGACGTTGATATTATAAAGGACACATATGACTAAAACGTTGGAGACATCATAGCATCAAAGAACTCGTTTTGTTTGTGACCTTTAAAGCTAAAATCTAAGACCTTTAAAGGAAAGATACTTATTTCACCAGCTCACCTCACAAAAACATAATAAGATCGTTGGTCATGTGAGAAAAACAAAAAACATCAAAGCGAATGGACTGCTTTACACAAACCGTGTTGCCTTATCTGACTACGCCTGTTGAGTTGGCGCTTAGGTAAGTTTCCTTCTACGAGGAAGGATCTCCACTTGAATTATGTTGGAAATATGTTAAATTACTTGCATTCTACCAGCCCACATACTCAAAATATGGTGATTTGTTTTTACTATTATTTTTATTTACTTCATTTATCAACAATATAAACCATGGTTCATTTTCAAAATGGATTTTGAGCATGTCAACAGAAGTACCTTCTGATGGATAATGGTGAAATGAAGACGAAAAGCGAAAATATACTGGCCCTAAGACGAAGGCTGATTGACAGTATCGAGCACATGTAGCACATGTTACTCCTGTACACCTTAGACTGAACTACTTTAGTATACGCATTAACACGCTCACAAGTGTGCTTAGATGTAGCCGGATCGTATCCTTCACATTTATTGACAAAAGTTTTCCGTTAAACAAGCGGGAAGTGTAGCCGAGCTGGTTCAAGGTCGTACTCGTCCAAGTCTACTCTAGATGGATACGACTACTCGTAAACACATCCGACTAAAAGATAAAGCCCACCAATTGACTCAAACTAAAGTTTAGGCTGAATGATCCAAACGATTATAGGTAAAGTCACTTGTGGGGCTCGCCGAGAAACTTTCACGCTTGCTCGTTCAAGTCCCCTAATGATAAACGAAATTGTAGGCAAACACTAGGACAAAAATAAAATCAAGTCAGAAACCATGTGAACGTATTGGCGAAGGCACATCAAAGCTTAACGATGCAAGAGCATGCAATACGACTTTCGAAAGCAGACTTCGAAAACCAACGAAGAAGAAACCACCGTTTATTGCGGGGTTCGAGAAAAGTCTTAAGTAGCAACAGAACAAGTGCCCATTACCGGGCGCGGAAGAAAAACGAAAAACTCGTAAAAGTCGAACCAACCATCGGTATGAATAACATTTCCCAGCAAAACACTTCTCATCTACGCCAGTACGCTTGAATATTTTATTAACAAGAATCTACAATTTCCAAGAACCACACAGCAACGTTTTTCAGCTACCACGTCAACGACTATCAATGGTAATAAATGACTGTAAACTAAACCCGTTGAACTAACCGCTAGACAGACATTCCAAAAATCATCTAAAAACACAGTTTCTTAATATAACTGCTAGTTTTCTTTTCATTTCCTAAAGCTGGGACCGATGATTCTACAATGACAGTGTTACCATCCGTAGGGTGTGCTACTTGAAGTTTGTTCAATATTTGTCCTAGAAATCACGGAAAAGCACCTTAATGCTTATCGAAGAGAATACGAACACTTCTCTTAATAAACGCCCTCAACACCGTATAGAAGCCCCAGCAACAGCAGCAGCAGCGCTAACTGACTGAACTGCCCGACAGGGCGCTCTTTTCAAAGAGACGCAGGCAAAATCGATTGAGCCCGGTGATCTTTGCGAGTGTGCACAAATGTGCCTCAAAAGAGCACCAGTCGATCGTACCTCTCACGGAATCACTCACTTTCAGTAATGATGACGATGATGGCGATGATGAAGCGAACATCATCTCATCGCTTTCTTAACATGCTCGCTGCTTTACCGCACTTCTCTCGCTTGCCATATCCTTGCAAATTTGCAGATTTCCTCATGTGGACGGGGAGGACTCAGTCTTCGGATGCACTCTTCATGTCACGCAAACTCGAAAAATTGCGAATCAATGTTCCGCCAACGAAATCTATCTTCTTCCATTGCGGTCATCATAGAAATGAGTCGGCTCGGTCGGTCGACCACTCACGAAAACCCCGTACAAAAAAGTCGTCTGCGACTTAGCAGAGGCCACCGTGCTGTTCACTGCAACAGAGACGACGATGACGATAAATGAACAATGACGTACTGGTAAAACAATTGACAGCAAAGTTCAAACGAACTGTTACGCTCCCATTCCATATTTCTATATTAGGGAAAATATATTCTCATTAATTCATACTACTCTTAAAATGACTTCTCAAGTTGAAACAACTACTTTCACCAACTCCCAAGTCCGACTTTCTCGGCACTGATTGATTGATTGACCTCGGCATTGATAGAATATATCTTTCTACTTCTGTTCAGCAAACACGAGGTGCTATTTTATTTCTTTATTTACGCACAAGCTGACGTTTCGGCGGATTTCGCCTTCCTCAGAGCCTGGAAGGGTCAAGTTGACAGCAATCCACTCGGCCAAACACCTCCATAACCAAACAGAGA